ATGTTTTTATATTTTGTTATTTTAATTATATTATATATATTTAAATATTTAATTCCTGTGCGTAGTAAGAACCCCTTGCTGGTTATTATTTATTTAAATAAATTTCCGGATATTTTTTCCTACCTTTTTAATGAGCGATGGTAATGGTAGCCCACAAAATTGTTAGCAAGTCAAAAAGAAATATCCCAAGCATATTCGGAATAACAGGTAGTAAAAGGAACACTCTAGGTAGTAAAAGGAGCTATGGCCTTAGGCCAGTTCGGATGACATGACAAGATTATGATTATGCAGGATAAATAAATTTATTTTACTCGCATAGTATATTTATCCTTATCTTTTTGATAAATTTATCTTACCCGCATAGTATATTTATCCTTATTCTCATTATCTCTTGTTCAGTTTCCTTTCAATTGCAATATAGACAATAAATTGGATAAACTTGTAAATTACCAAAATAATCTTCACCCACCCAAAAGAAAAAAAGGAAAAAACCTTGAAACAATGAGGGTTCCTACACAGCTTCATTGCCCTCTGTGAACGCTAGGACAGAGTTCGCCGCTCTGTCACCTCTGTCATCGTCGGCTAGAGCAAGAGGCTGCGGGTCCTCGTCCTCCTCCTGCGTGAGGACTCGATCGATTTGCAGATTTATCAAGGCTCGATTTGTGCAAGCCTCTACAAATTAGTCTGGAAGGGACGATCGTCTGGAAAGGACAATCTAAAGGGACGATCATCGAGATGGGCTCAATCTCTGGAAAGGACGACCATCGTTGGTTGATTTCAGAGGTGAGAGAGAGAGGGGGTCGATCGATCTGCGCATGTCCCTGCTGATCCGTTGGGACACGATTTGCATGAGTCTTTGCAGATATGTCAAGAAGGGGGAAAACAAATGGATAATCGATGGGAAACGCTCAATAACGAGAAGGGATGACCATCGTTGGCCACTTGCAGATGAACAGGGATGACCATTGTTGGTGGACCTGCGGAGGAGGAAGGAACGAAAGATGAGGGGAGGGCAAAAATTGTCATAAAAAAAATGTTTGGTTTTATCATGGCTGATAAAGTTTACATGAACTCTTCTGTGGGATAAAGATATCTAACTTTAACTAGATTATAGTGGATAGAGAAGACTGCCTGGGACTTTTATTCGGTATGTTACATGCATAGGAACTCAGTGATAAAGGAGGATAAGGCAAATAATTTTATCCTTATCAGCCTTATCCCTCCAACCGAACATGGCCTAAAGAGACAAAGAAGTGATGTACTCAATGACATCATACTGCTTGAGAAAGAAGCAAAGAGAGAACGGCAAACCAATTATTCTGAGCATATTGAAGTAATGGACCTCCTTGCACTCCAAATCTCTAAGAACGCTTCTTACTTAATTCAAGATACTTAGGCCTGCTCTTTGCTGCCATAAATTCTTGTAATTTTCGTTCACCAAGGGAACCTTGGTTTTTTGACTTAAAAATATTTACTTAGTCAATATTTTTTACTAATTTTCATTTTATTAATGCCAGTATCAATATTTGATTTAGTCTATATTTTAAAGAATATGAAACCACCGAAACATTAAATTAAATTAAGTCATGAGCACACAAAGTGATGATTGGTGGCTTCCTTTTCCATGGAGTCCGGAAAGATGCTTTCACCTTAAGAATCCAACAACAATATAGGATATGTAAAATTGTCATGACTCAAAATCAAGCACGTGATCGACACTAAAATTGAATTATCAATTCTAGTAAATCTCAAACAAAAAAACAATTATTATTTAAATAGATCAGATATAAATATAACATGTATTAACAATAGAAAGATCATATCTAAAAAGCAAAATGGAATAACTTTAAAGTACAGATAGACATATATAGCATCACCCACACTCAAGATCAGGCTCATCGAGGAAACTATGTACTTGCTCAGTGATGCGAACGAGAAGGCAAACCAATGCCTACGATCTTAAAAAATGTTAGGGAATGATAGTATAATAAAACTCAATGAATGATAATATAAATTTAGTCATGCTGAAACATATATTGTAAAACATGCAAAACATATATATTATATATATATAATTAACATAGTGAACAGAGCATATATATCATCGAAAATCATAATATATACCTCACATATCCAAAAACAAAATTAAAAATTAAATCATTGAGCTTTAGAAATGTAAAACATGCGAGAGTACTAGATTATATTAGAAATCTCATTTCATAATAGAGCGTATTGTGTTAAAAGCATCATAGATCACATTTCAAATCAAATGTTATCTCAATGACAGAGTGGATATATTTTAGAAGTATTAAATATTGCATCATAATCTCATATCAACAAATCATTGACAAAGCGTATCATGTCAAAATATATTGGATATCGTATCATAACTAGCAAATCACTAATCAAATACACCATGTGGAAGTATGTTGTATTATAATACATTATAGTATACATCCCATCATATAATTTCTTTTTGAATATAATATATAATAGAGGCATGTGCTCAAATCAAAGTGAAATGTCTTAAAATAGCTCTCTATATTTTCAAGAATCAATTTCAGAATAATTGTCCCAAATTCAATGTCAAACTGATAACTCACATCATAACAAATAATTTATATTTGTCATAAAACTCATTTTTCATAATAAATAAATAACTAGAGTTGAAAGTGCATATATAGAATAAGTAATATTACTCACAGTACAAGTAAAAACTGAGAGATTTAGTTGTATGTAACAATGACTCAATGATCAAAATGCATATCCTCGTGTGTATCTACAATCACAAAAATGTAATATTAATTTTAGAATTAAACTTAAATCAATTAAAAGTTTAATTGCTTAAAACAATCTTTAATCCCATTTCAGAATCTTTAACACACATCCTAAGGTTTATTATTTAACATCCGAACCCAAATAGACTGAAAATATAAACCAATTTCATGTAAAACTCTTTAAATTGAACTGAAGTAAACTGGTTTCAAATACCCTTGAACTAGCCTAAACAGGTCTAGACACAACTGAACTGGCCAGAACTAGCCTTTAAACATCACTAGACCCGCCCGAACGAACTAGCTTTAAATACCATTGAACCGTCTTAACCACCACTAAACCGATCCAAAACGTCAATAAACTGGCTATAAAACCATTAAATTGATTGGACTGGTCTATTAAAATAAAAGTGAACTAAACCATCATGGTTCTTATTAAAACCTAACAGAACCAAGCCAAAATCGTTTCAGAACTAGATTAATTAGAATGTTATACTTTCGAACCAGTATAAACGGCCGACCTAACTTATTTTAAATTGAATTGTTTCATTGAATCGTTCGGACTTGGTTAGGCCAAGTTGAGCCGATTTGGCCATGTTAGCTCAGACCCAAATCCCATTTGGATTCTTCTTCTCTGCTTGACAACCCACTTCTTAACCCAAAATTTGCAACCCCAACTTGATTGCACCCAATTCAAAATTAGGCCATTTACTTTGTTCTCCAACAACGGCCAACAATTGGAAAATAAAAGGTGACGATTGACAAGCACTTTTCGACGTCGAATCGAGGTAGAAACTCGCTAAAATTGGAGATTGTTTTTTCTTGGGAACCTGAATTGCGTACTTGTGGACCTCTCTAAAATCTAAGTAAAGGAAGGGAAATTTGCCAAATTATTTGAGGGCTTTGCTTTACATACCACTACGCACATTTATAGCTGATTTCAGGTGATGAATTTTCAACAAATTGCATCCAATTGGCTTCCAAAGTGGCCGATTGAAACTTTCATGGTTCTCTCAATTAGATTCCTCAAAGACCATTTTCTTTCAATCAGTGCCTGGTTTTTTAATTCTGACCCTACCTTTAGCACCTCACTCAATGATACTACCTCTTTAATTTTTTTAATTAGGCCCTCACAATTTGTGATTAAACCTCGATTATTCTAATTCATTCAATTAAGTCCTTCAAATCTTTCCATTTAGCCCCTAGTTAAATTAATTCATCCAGTTAAGTCCCTCAACAGATTGAGGTTATTACACAAATTTATATTACCGAAAAAAGAAAACACCATTCATTCTCATGCATATTTACTTCGGAATCCATCCCATATATTATGTGAGCCCTCATCCAGGGAGGGAGGGAGAAAACTAAAATAAAGAAAATGCCTTATAAACATGTCTTCTTTCCTCAAATTATAACAGTGAACCTAGCATAACTAGATTCCAATATAAGCTAACAAAACAGTTCCTCAACAGAAACTTAGAAGTATCTAATTTTTCGTCTCTTTCATACATAGAGCCATCTTTATTTACCAAACCGGAAATATATACATCTACTCTGTCCAAAACATTACCCAAAAAACAGGAAGAAAAAAAAAATTGAGTCTGCCATGGCAGCTGCAATCTGTTGGATTTTCTCTCTTCTTTTTCTTTCTTTGCATCTCTGGAAGGGGAGTCTGCTTGAAGAGACCATCCGTTCAAACGTGCACGGGCGGCTTATTTACATACAAGGCCACTAAGTTTGAAGCTATTTTTCAGGTCAGATCAGCCATGGAATTGGTCTGTCCTCCGTTAATCACCCATGGATGCCTGAATTCATCAACAAATCACAGTCAATACATAACCTCTACGTAAATTAGATCTCAAAGATGGGTCAACATACAAAGAAAGAAAACTTACCAATAAAAAAATAGTTATTCTAGGAAAAGAAAGTGATTAATAAATATAACCAAACATTGCAATGAAATTTCCTTTCAACTTGGACCAGAGAAGTCCCCAGAACCTCAAACTTATTCAGTCTAGTACAGAGTTGGAGTTGCTGGTATTTTATTTATTTATTATATGACGGACACAAGAACAATCCTCCGCGTTTCCGTTCACCTTGTCTCCAATAAAAATACTAAGTTACGGCTTTTTCGGAAAAGTTCAAGGAAATTGTTGATCAGAAAATAAGAAACGACAAAACAAAATCGTAAAACAGAATCAATTGATCGCGCTCTACTTAGTTTACCTAATTTCCTGCGCAAATCCAAAAAGAGAAAACAATTTCTCAGAAAAATTATGCCATTCAGTTACTGTTTTTCGAGTAAGATTAAGGAAATTAAACTTCAAAAAAAGATCAGGCAACAGAAAAAAACATTGAACAGAACTATTTTGTTGCCCTCAACTCAATTTTACTAAAATCTGTCATCAACCTCTAACAAATATCATTTAAGTTTCCAATAAAAAAAATGATTTCATGAACTTCAAATTGAGAATTCATGGTACTCAATATGCTCTCACAAGTAAAAACAAGAAAAAGAACAAAGAATTCGAACAGTATACTTACTCAGAACTTGTTCAACCGATAAACGCCTCGAGACGTCTTTACAGATCATCTTCCGCAACAGATCCTTGGCTTCTGATGATACGGACCGGAAAATCCTTGGCGGAAACCGAAGATTCGCACGTAGCACCGCCTGGAAAGTCTCCGATGCCGTCTCGCCGTAGAACGGAAGAACACCAGAGAGCATTATGTACAAGATCACGCCGGCACTCCAGATATCAACCTTCTCATTGTATTCCCGGCCGGATAACACCTCCGGAGCCACGTAGTACGGCGTCCCTACAATTCGAGTCATCGTCCGCCTCTCGCCGCCGCCAAACCACTCAGCGGATCCAAAATCGGCCAATTTCAATCTATTCCGAGAATCAAAAGTATATTATCGGGCTTTATATCGCGATGTGCGATGCCGAGGCGGTGGCAGTAGGCAATGGCGGAGATCAGCTGCTGGAAAATTGAGGCGGCGTGAGGCTCGGAGAAGGCGCAGGCGTCGTTGAGGCGGTCGTAGAGGTCGGCCGAGTCGCAAAGGTCAGTGCGATCTGGATTGAGTGCTCGTCTTCGTACACGTTGTGAAGTTGGAGGATGTTGGAATGGCCGCCAGAGAGAAGGTGGAGGATCTTGGGCTCCTTGTCGATGCAGGTCGCGATCGGTGGCGTCGGTGAGGAGACGCTTGTCAATGGACTTACAGGCGAAAGAATCCCCGGAGGCGGTGGAGAAGCAGCGGTAGACACGCCGAATCGACCGCGACCGATCTCTTCGCACAATGGGTATTCGGAGTTGAAGCTCTCGCACATCATTCGTGTTAGGTCTCAAGTGAGGTGTGTTTGTTTAGGGGAGGGCGGTTGGGGACTAGGGAGGTTTTATAGAGGAGACAGAACGCGGGCATGGTGAGGGAAGCTCGTTGGGTTTAATTTAATTATATAAATTTGGGTGAAAATAGATTCTGACTTGTGCTCTGCAATTTCCTGCGAATTTTAGGATTCCCGACCCGGCTGGTATTGCTTCTTTCATGAATTACGTCATTTTTATTTTATCCTTTTTTTGACTTTTTCACTTCAAACGAATTAACGGCAAAGGTTTTAATAGGTTAAGTATTTTTACTTTCAATGATGTCTACATTAAATTAATATTTATATTCTTTTTTTTTTTCCTGAAAATAGGCCCGTCAATCTCTAAGTCAATCCATTTATTTTTGGATCTGACAAAAATAAAAAATAACTGCAATCAATCTGCACGTAATTATATTATCTTAAATGATGTCTACATTAAATTAACATTTATATTTTTTTTTTCCTGAAAATAGACCCCTCAAATCTCTAAGTCAATCCATTTAGTTTTGGATATGGTAAAAAAATAAAAAATAAATGCGATCAATCTACATTTAATTATTTTACTTAAAATAGTATAATATTCATAACATTTATTTAAAATTTTAATATATTAAAAAATCATTTAATTAGATGAACTGTTAAGGGAGGGCTCTGATTAAAATTAAGGATATAAAACACTCTCATCTTTTTTAAATTTGTTTAGATGGCATTTAATCTATTTTTATTTTTAAAAAACTTTTCCTCCCTCTATTTATTAAGAATTACTTAACAATTTTGTTAAGTAAGAGACAAAAGTAACTCAAATTTATTTGTTTAGCTTACTCATCTAATTGAAATCAAAATATTATTTGGTTCAGTTGAAATTTTATATATTTTTAATTAAAAAATCTAGGAAAACTCAAAAAATCAATTTTTGATAAACTA